TCCCAGATTGGTAGAACTGTCTTGGGAAGGGCTGGGTGTGGCCTTGGAAGAGGTGCCTCACTCAGATCTGGAGGCCTCAAAAGCCATGGCAGGTGCGGTGTGTCTCTCTGCTTCCAACTTTCAGATAAGGCGTAAGCTCTCAGCTACTATCCAACAGCATGCCTGCCTGCCTGTGCTATGCTCCCAGGCATAATGGCCATGAGCTCACCTCTAAAACTATAAGCAAGCCCCCCAATTAAATGTTTTCTTGTATAAGTTGCCATGGTCATGGTGTCTCTTCATCACAACAGAAAAGTAACTAAGACATTACTTGATTAAATTTTTTCAGTCACCTCTCATTCTCCACTACCCAGCGGTCTTCACTACAGGGCAGTTAAAGGGTGATGTGGTGGGAACCACCGCCCTGCACCTTTCAAGTCTTTGCTGGTGGCTCTTCTAGGGATGTGGTGCTGTCCCCTGGTAGAGGCAACTCTAAACAGTTTCCACTCGGCCTTTCCAACCACAGCAGCTCTCACTCCACAGTTATGGAACCGCTGTGAGAATTCTGCCAACTTCTAAGTTTATCTGTCCCAGTTATACATCCTAGAGCTGGAAAATCACTAACTGTACCTACTGTGAGTTGGGTATTAGCCAAACTCCATTAATCACCTGTCCTCCATAAGTCCACAATGCTTCTTGGGGTCTCCCAGAATCACTGTCAATTCAGAACCTATATCCACCAGACTCTGAAAAGTCTGATTATTTCCTTTCCCCCGTGAACCTTTGTAAAGGCTGTAGGTCCATGTGGGAAGGGAGAGGAGAAAGACTCACTGTTGTACATGGGATAGTGATATTGTCATTAGGACCTGGGTTTTGTTTTGATTCGGAAACTGAAAATATAAGGAGATGTGATTATGTGTCAAGCTGACAAAGGGAGAGCTTGTGATGGCTAATTTTGGTTGTCAACTTGACTACATCTAAAATCAACTAAAACCCAAGCAGCTGGGCATGCCTGCCTGTGTGTGTGGAGGGGGTTCTCGATGGGATCACTTGAGGTCAGAAGATGTCCTAAGTCTGGGTTACACCTTCTGGTGGCAGCCTATATAAACAGACGTGGTAGAAGGAAGCTTTTGCTTTTCGCCTGCTTTCCCTCACACTCCCTGCTAAGTCCATCTATCCTGCTGGGGAGGCTGCCCTTCATTGGCAGTGGACATAGCTCTTCAGGACCCTACACAGCCAGAGACCAGCAGAGACAGCCAGCTCGGGGGCTGAACAACTACTGATGCTTGGCCTTGCTGTCACAGACAGCCACTGATGGACTAGCAGCCTGTAAGTCACTCTAGCAGACCCCTCTTCTACAGAATCACTCTATCACTTCTCCTCCTCAAGGGAACCAGACTAGAAGATATATGTATAATTTAACAATTTTCAAATTTGAATACTTAGCGTTTAAAGCATTTACCTATTCATAATTCTTCTCTACCATGATCAAGTAGAAATCCCCACTGTACTTTTACTAAACCCCAAATCCAGTAACTAAGATGTGGCCAGATTTTGGTTTTGTGCTGTTTTGTTTTGATCAGCAGTGTTTCACTGCTGGAGAAGCAACATCTATTCCAACCCCCTGTTTTCCCTCCATTTTTCTGTCACTGTCGCTACCTACGTACCACTGAGGGTGGTTTTGTAGCAGTCAAAACTACTCCTGAGTGAAGTATCCACTTAGTAATTTCTGTAATAAATGGATTTCATGACTGGCTTCCCACATACAGTTTTTAAAATTTTTCTTGGGCAATGCTCCCATCACACACACATACACACACACACACACACACACACACACACACACACACTCCCAGAATTTTACTATGTAGCCTAGATAAGCCTTGAACTAGCAGTGATTACAAGCATGCATCATAATATTCTACTCTCTAGAATTTTCACTGTACTCTTGGGGGGAAATGAGATATTCTAGACTAAAGGTGTGAAGGATTTTTATGACCAGACAAGATGGAATGGCAACAGACATGGTTCTCCTCAAGAGCTGAGAGCAGTGACACTCCATGGAGCCCAGGCATCATGTGTCCAAAGGGCATCCTCCACTCCTCCCATATTCCCAACATATCTGGAACGGGCATGGGCACCATGGGAGATGGGGCGACTGTTACACTCCTGAGTGACATGAACAAGAACGGTCTCCTGGCCAAGGTAAAACATTCATGACGGAAGCAGACCTTTAGTTTTTCCTTCTCATGAGCACTCTGGGCTGGCTGCAAGGCTCTGCAGGCGTCCTGCCTTCGCCTGTGAAGACTGGTCGAGGGGAAGTGGACTCGACACACACTGCTGCACATCATCTGAGGACGTCTAGGAAAGGCGGCTGCATGCGTGGGGCGTCATCTGCAGACCGAACGAAGGTGACCACTACTGCAGGGTGGTTGGCACTCCACATCTCCACACCTTTCCTCCCGCGGAAGGGCCCCGGTGCCTTTTATAAGGTCACACAGGAAGCACATACTGGCACTGGCAGTCACCAGGGCGAGGGAAATTTGAGGCTCACGGAAGAAATTCCAGCTGGCTCATGACCAGGGTTCAGTGCTTAGGCACTAAGTGCTGAGCAGATGGTATCCAATACACAGAGCAGTGGTGTGCTTGTCACCAGAACTGCAGACGTTTGTAGCTTCCTCTAACACTGCTTACCAGCTTCCTGTACACAGACAGGAAGAGCCAGTTTCTTTCAATGACCAGCGAGCTAGATTGGGATGCTCTCTAGCCTCTGCAGATGAGCCTATGAGTCCAGGAACCTCCCAGGTTGGGAATGCTGGCTGATTGCCTAGACCTCTTCCCCATGTGGAGAGCACAAACCTGCAAACTGTTTTGGTGAGGGCTGTTTACCCACTGGAAGCCTTTGTTATTTGGCAGGCTGACCTTGCTGTCACTCTCAAGGACAATGCACAGTAGTGAAGAATCAGATGTGCTTCACCCGTGTGGTGTAGCCTGCTGAGCTATGACACAAGGTGGGGTGTGCTGTGAGGAAGAGGAAGCCAAAGGTTTCCCTGTCTTAGGCTTCTTAAGGGCTCCAGCTGGAGTGTAAAACACAGATGGTTCTAGCAAAAAGAACTTCGGTGGGAAAAGAATCCAGGACATCAGGATTCAAGAATCACCTGTCTCTCCCCCATCCCCAGGGTCCCTGTGGACCAGGGTGGCTTGAAAGCAGAGAACAAGACACTTTGCTGGGTGTGATGCAGCAAGGCAAAGGTATGCGCCCCTTCCAAAACTAAAGCACTTAGGATAAGAGAGCTGATTACTCTCACCTGCCCAGACAGTGTGCCAGCCTCCTGGGGTCTGTACACCTCTGGGCAGGTCTCTCCACTTTCATCTTGCAGGAAAAAGGCAGTCATCTGAGACTGACTGGTCTGTTTAGCAGGTGCTTTTTCTGTGAGGCTTCCCCACACACTCCTGTTTTCTGTAGGCCTCGGTACTCCAGTCAGGGCAGACCCTACTTTAGCCATAACCATATAGTCTCATGTGAGAGCCTCATTAACAACACTTCTGTCAGGTCCCAAACAGACCTGGGACAAGTCTCACTCAGTACCTGTGGCTCCTTCCACTTCTCAGGCACCACTACCCTAAAGCTTCCAAACCCAGGGACTGGGCTTCCCTTCCCCTCCCCCAGTTTCTCTTTCTTAAATAATTCAGCCATTTTGGTAATTTACTCTAAGAAATATCACATCACACTGACATTTATGTTTCAAGGGCTGCACTTGAAAAAACAGAGGGAACAACAGGTTGCCAAAATTAAACATCAACTAACAACTTACTAAATATTTTGGGATATTGTTTGTCAATAATGTATATAATAAACACATATGGTGATGAAAACAAAAGGGGGCTGAAGAGATGGCTCAGCAGTTAAGAGCATTGGCTCCTCTTCCAGAGGACCTGAGTTCAATTCCCAGCAAGTACATAGTGCTCACAACTATCCATAGTCGTATCTGATGCCCTCTTCTGGCATAAAAATGTACATGCAGATAGAGCACTCATACATAAAATAAATATATGTCTAAAAAAGTAAAAAAGGCACCTGCATTCAATAGAATTTGCCTCTCTCTCTCTCTCTCTCTCTCTCTCTCTCTCTCTCTCTCTCTCCTCTGTCTCTCAGTTTTTCCTTTTCGAGACAGGATCTCACTATAGAACTCTGGCTATCCTGAAACTCACTCTGTAGACCAGGCTGTCCTTAAACTCACAGAGATCTCCTGAGTGCTGAGAGTAAAGGTGTGTGCCACCACCCACCACGCTGAAATCCACATACACTCATTTAAAGAATTAAGGAACTAAGCTGAAACTGGTAGCTCCTAAGTATAATTCCAGTCCTCAAAAGGGAAAAGCAAAGGCTTCAGGTCAAGCTCAAGGCCACAGTGAAATCCAGCCTGCCCAGAGCTACATATTCAGACCCTATCTCAAAACCAATAGCCAAAGAGTTTAGGAATGGCCGTGACGTACACATCACTATGGTATAAAAAGAGTTGATTAGGACTGATGAGACGGCTCAGCAGGTGAGAGTGCTTGCTGCGGAGAGCTATGGCCTGAGTTCAATCCCTGGATCCCACAGTGCAAGGAGGGAAGGACCATTCCTGCGAGTTGTCCTCTAACATTTGCACACATGCTATGACACGCATGCGCATACACATCATAAACACATAATGATATACCTTTTAAATTTGATAAGCTTCAAAAATTAAAATTTACTTTTATAGCTTTCATATTATTTGTTCCAACTTTCCTAGGAGTTGAAACAAAAAGAACAAAAAGCAGGCTTTAATAATTCTATAAACAAACCTGTTGTAGGAAGAGGATTTGCTAAACCATGTGCAAAGTCATGCATATAATTCTGACAAATGTAAAGCCAAAGAAATTCCTTCCTCCATGTTTTTCTCTCTTAGAATAACAGAGGACACACAGAACATCTAACAGGCAATGGGTTAAGCAGCATTCTCTGACTGACAAGCACTGAGGTAACTACTTACTAAGCAGTTAGACAGTCTTTCAGTGCAGAATTTTCTTTCCGGCATTTTACCACCATAAGGATTCCAGAGTCCTTGCAACATCTGGTAAAATCTGAAATTAAAAAAAAAAAAAGACATTACATTAACATGACTTTAAAAGTTCTAACAGAGTTTCAGCTGGGTAGTGGTGGTGCATGCCTTTAATCCCAGCAGGTGAATTCAAGGTGAGTTCAAGGCCAGCCTGGTCTACAGAGTGAGCTCCAGGACCGGCTCCAAAGCAACACAGAGAAACCCTGTCTCAAAAACACCAAAACAAACAAACAAACAAAAGTTCTAACAGAGTTTCTCCCTTAGAATCCATTATCCAGACTGTACATAGTCCATGCTCAATAACACATGGACACCAGTTAGGGCCGACTACACGCACGGCTCACTTTACAGAAAGGATGTGGGAGGAGGACATGTGAGATAAAGGTGGGAAGCTGCCTGGAGACACACAGACTACAGTGACCACAGAGGATTTCTAATGGGAAATAAGCAACAAGAGGTAAGACTTCCCAGGACAGGGTGTCTGGTCTCCATCTATGCTTCCTCTCAGCACATGGCAGAGCTGAAGGCTTCCCTCTGACACCACCACAGCCTCCACCTTCTGAAGAACCCTGCCATGTGCCTGAATGGCTAGTAACAAGGCTGTTGTTCATTACCAAGTCTTAAGACACCATAAAAATTACAAAAAGTTTCTGTTTCGTTTCCACCCAGGGATCACAGTGCACTTTTGGTCTCTGGGGCCACACCCTAGCCACAGCCAGGCCATTGGCCACTCTGCCTGGCACTTGCTCTGTCTCTGATCTGCTTGCACCCTACTCTCCCCACAGGCCAATGCCCTTTGCGCTGAGTCTTTACAGCGGTCCTCTCCACTGCTCTGCTACGTGGTGGCTACTGTGCTTCTAGTAGCTCCAGACTATGCTGCACAGTAACTATTTTGCTGTCAAGCAGTCAGTCATTACCCCCATCGAGTGTTAAATGTGATGTCAGCCTCACAAAGAAGCTGTAGGGGTACAGTCTCAATGCTTTTACAGTTCTTGTAATACAAATTATCAAGGTTGCCTCTTCCTTTGAGCCATGTTCTGCTTTCCAATTGCTAAGGAATAGAAGTTACTTATAATTAGCTTAAAGAAAGTAGATAATTTCAGGAGTCTCCATATAACTATATACCTAAAATATGTGAAAAATATTTTAAACCACAGCAACCAAAACGGATTGAGTTAAATTAAATATGTACAAAACTTACTGGTGGGAAGTTGTCCAAAACTACAGATACACCTGTATATAACACAACAGCATGGCTACCCTCTGAGGAGAGCTGGCAGAACAGGAAAAGGGACCAAGGAAAGGATACAGTGATCAAATGAACTTAAATCATGTATAGATATGATATGATCATATAAGATATGATCAGATCAGATAAGATATGATCACAGAAAAAGTCATGGGCAGTCTTCAAATGAAATGTGTCCATGAAGTTAATGTAGAATTGACCACGTGGACTATAGGAGTCTTTAAGAGAACTGGCATGTTGATGTGGAAGGTCCTTCTGTCTGTGTGTTGCTTTTATTGGGTAATGAAGAAAGAACTGCTTTGAGCCTATGGCAGGGAAGAACAGAACTAGGCAAGGAAAGTATGATGGGAGAAAGAAGGGTGGAGTCAGAGAGATACCATGGAGCCACCAGCCAGAGAGAGATAGACATGCTGAAACTTTGCTGGTAGGCCACGACCTCATGGTAATGCACAGATTAATAGAAATGGGTTAAATTAATATGTAAGAGTTAGCCAATAAGAAGCTAGAGCTAATGGGCCAAGCAGTGATTTAATTAATTCAGTTTCTGTGTGATTATTTTGGTTCTGAGAAGCCAGGACGAACAAGTGGCTCCTTGCAACAACTGGCATGTCAACGTGGGTAACTATATCCACATAAAAACCTGAGAAAGCATAAAAATTAATTCTAGACACAAAAGAGCAGAGTTAAGCATGGTTTGCTAGTGGCATTTTCTTGGATAGGCTCTGTTGCTGGAAGCAAGCAGTGGCATGGCTCCTTTAGGAGAGGTTTTCCTGATTCAGCTTTAGCAGGAAAAAAGTTATAGTCATGCTATTTTGAAATGCCGGCTTTCTGGGCCATCCTGCCAGCGAAAATTCTGACTCTTTCAGGCAGGAGGTCTGGCTACAGAGCATTTGAGTGGCATTTGTAAGCATAGTGCCGCAGCTTACATGATGGTGACATGGACTGGCTGTGTGCCTGAGAATGGGGCTGTGTGCATGTCTCTCAGAGGCATGAGTGGCTTCACCATGGTGGACTGGGCAGGAAACCAGGAAATACCATACTTATCATAATAATGGTTCAGCTTAAGTACCATATATACCATAGTAATGGCACAGCTTAAGTTTTAAGAAGTGTTTATCATTTTAAAAAAGTGTTCCTGGACAGTAAAGAATTACAGATATGCAATAAAGACAAATCCAAATGAGTTATAGTGTTGGATAAATGTACGTAGGAAGAGAAAAGAAAAAGAGTATAGAGAGTCATACAATAAAGTTAATGCTTTAAAAAAAAGAGAGAGGGTAAAGTCTTTAAAGAGACTGAGTACAGATAGTCATAGATTAAAAGGAATACAAAAATAAGCCACGTAAAGATGGAAAATTCACAGAGAGTCTGGATTATGTATATTATTGTGCTATCTTTGAGTTTTTTGACTGCAGAGAGACATCTGATTCTGGGGACAGCTTAGCTAAACTACCATATATATTTCAAAGGTATTTTGAACTCAAAATTTGAGTCTAAGGATATGTTGCTTTGGATAAGAGGTTCTTCTCTTGATTCCACAGAGAGTGAGGACCTGTGGATTGCTTCCAGACTGGTGTGGTTTGATGGGACAAGACACCTCCCCCCAGAGATCGCTGTGAATACCTCCAAAAATTACTATGCCCAAAAATCATCAGGAAACAGTATGAAGAAAACTATGCCCATATTCCCAAATAGTGTCTATAAATGTTTGTTTACATTTAAAAGGGGGATATGATATAGATATGAATAATTTGCATGGGTATGGATTTTGGTTTATTGATAGAAATTTAAGGCCAATTTTGTTATATGTATATGTATTTCTGATCTTGATTAAGGTATTGTGTTTGTGTAGCTCATTTAAAAATGTGATGTATAATTAAGAAATATAGGTTAATAGATAATCATCTATAATAGTCAAGTTTATAGTTATGTTAGTTAGGTTTACTAGATATATAGAGATGTATTTCAATTAGGTATTCTTCAAATTTTTCAGAGACCTTCAGAATATGGCATTTAAATGTTTTAAGAAATTAAGTCTCTTAATGACAGTGAGACACATCTGCTCCTGGTAGGACCAACCTACTTCAAGAGGAAGAAGGGCATCGAAGAGTCTCCTTATGGAGTTGGTGAGCCATTTGGGCAAGAAATTGCTCTTGCCTGGACTGCTTAATGGACTAGACATGCAGTACCCACAGAGAAATGACTGCTAAACTTGCCTAAACGTGAGATGATCCTTCGGGGTTCCTGCTTCATGAAAGAGTCTGCAAGACATTCTGTAGGATACAGAAGAAAGTGACTGACAAACTACCAATATAGGCAGAACTGCCTTTGAAATTTCCTGCTTTGTGGAAACATCTGTTGGATACTATGGGCCTAAAAGCTGAAGATGGATGCCCCAATGGTACAAAACTTTGGGTGTCTATCCAGGTAGTGGGATGTCTCTGTCAACTCTAGAGTTTTGGAAGTTGCTTACAATGCACTTCCTGCTTACTTAGGTAATATCATATCCTTCTGGAGTGTTTGATGGAGTTGAAGAATTCAAGTTCTAGTTTTCCTTCGTTAAGATAAAAAATAAAGTAGATATAAATATTGTAACTATAATTCTTACTTGATATCTGTTTTGTTATATGTAATTTTACTATGTTAAAGTTAAAGCCTTCCTTTTTGTTTAAACAGAAAAGGGGAAATGGTGTGGGATGTCCTTCTGTCTATGTGTTGTTGTTATTGGTTAATAAATAAAGAACTGCTTTGAGCCTATGGCAGGGAAGAACAGAACTAGGCAGGGAAAGCTAGGCTGTATGTTGGGAAGAAGGGTGAAGGCAGAGAGACGCCATGGCGGCACCACTGGAGATAAATGTGCTGAAACTTTGCTGGTAGGCCACGACCTCGTGGTGATGCACAGATTAATAGAAATGGATTAAATTAATATGTAAGAGTTAGCCAATAAGAAACTAGAGCTAATGTGCCAAGCAGTGATTTAATTAATACAGTTTCTGTGTGATTATTTCGGGTCTAAGCTAGCCAGGCAGCCAGGAACCAACAAGCATCCTCCCTTCTACAGCATGTTTAACAGAGGTGATAAAAAAGCGAGCCAGACACCCCTCCACTGTGCCCTGCTGTGACCTTATCACACCTGTGCCAAACTGATCCACTCAGATAATGGCTTTAATGAAACATTATTGCCATCCTAAGTTCTGCCTGGGGGGGGGAACATGCTAGTTGGCAAATTTCCATACCTTTTTGGAAAATACAGTAGCTACTATCAAGAGTTTAATTCATAAATTTAACAAATCCAACATTGTACTTGTTTTGGAATATTATTTTAACTGTGAAAGATATATTACTTTTGTTCATGCTGCATTTGTGTAATTATGAAAAGATGTGTTGCATTTGTTTCACCTTGCCTGCCTAACCCACCTGATTGGTCTAATAAAGAGCTGAACAGACAATAGCATGGCAGAGAAAATAAATATGAGGAGAAGAGAACAAGAGGGACTCCAGCCAGCGGACATAGAGAAACAGTAAAAGTGAGATATACAGGAGAAAGGTAATAAACCCCGAGGTAAAAGGTACATATAGAGAAACAGGCTAAATTATAAGAGCTAGCAAGAAAAGACCTAAGGTAGGCCCAGCATTCAAAACTAATAATTAGTCTTTATGCCTAATTTGGAAGCTTGTTGGTGGCCCAGAAGAAAAGGCCTGGTACACCCTCCTGGCTTAGTTCAGCACAGAACACTTGAGCACTGCATTGTTTTAATGTCCATTCCCCAAAA